GCGCGTATGGCGCGATCTCATCACGAAGGCAGTTTCTGAAGTGCGGGAGGAAGACCTCATGCATGCAGAGAAGAAGCGGCAAGCACCGATGGATTGTACTCCATCGACATCGAGTGCATGGTGCTGTAGCACATGCGGTCGCGAGTGCCTGAGTCAAGCAGGCCTAGTGAGCCATGAGCGAGGCCACTCTGGACTACTACCGAAGCGCCGACGGGTTCTGCAGAGAACGTAGGCAGAACCGGCGCAGCGTTTGTAGGTACGCTGCATTCGATTTACTAACCGCGTGCTTGCATGCTAAGTCTCTTTATTTCAGGTGGATGGTTTTCAATTTTGCCCTTATGCTTTTCTTTCCCAGTTATACTCTCTTCTATACACTTGCACACGTCGCTTAAGCCACTTGTAGTTATTTCGATAACATTTTCGTGTTTGTAGCATTTCCGTAAAATAAACCTCCTGATCTCGTGAACTTACCTCTTATTCTTTTGTAGACGTATTCTTTTGTAAACAACTTATTTCATATGCTCACTAATTTAATATTTATGTCACCGTTTGATTGCGTGCTAAGTCTTTATTTCAGATGGTGGGTTTTCAATTTTGTCCCAATGCTTTGCTTTCTCATATAAATGTCTACCTGTACTCTCTTCTATAAACTTGCACACGTCACTTAAGCCAATTCTAGTCCTTTACGAAAACATTTTTGTGTTCGTGGCATTTCCGTAAAGTATACTTTCTGTCCTCGTGAACTTATCTCGCATTCTTCTGTAAACAATTTACTTCAGATGCTCATTACTTTAAGATATGTCACCTTTTCCTTATGCATTACTCGATTTATTTTCCTTGTTATCTTTCTCTCAAGTGATTGGCTGTTGCTTGATATCCCCGGTGAGGCTGCGCTTGATGTGCATGTTGACAAGGTGCCTACCTGTCTATTACCCACTACCTCATCCACACTGGCTCCAGGAGACAGTAGGTCGTTGCTGGAGGGGACGGGGGTGCACGGTCCTTGTGGCCGTGTTAGGATCAAAGAGTGGTTCCATGCCGTCAGTGTGGAGCGGACTACGGTTCAGTCACCGCCTTGTGTGCGATTGTTTCCCAAATACAGCGTGCTTGTGTTTGCCTGTGAAGGAGTGTGGGCCGGCTCCGTTGATGAAACGTGGCTCCCATCCACATGCCTCCCGGTCTTATTCCTTTGGGTTAACACTGGATATGGGGTTTGTGGTTGGAGCTGTGGGTGGTGCAGCGCAAGCCACCCATGGTCCCTCTGTAGGCGCAGGCGTCCTGTGGCTGGCCACAGTGACAGGCAAATCCGAAACCGGATGCCGCCAACCATATAAATGTATATATATTGCTTGCTTCACGTAACCTGCACAGCTGGAACTGACAGCGCAGGAAATGTTGGCAGCACTTGATTGACGAAGTGATCCGCCAAAGTGGGAACACTCACGAGATTCTCTTACCAGAACTTGACCCAGGAAGTCTATTAGCGTGAGCAGACCTCTCTTGCGCTTAATTAGTGACCCCGATCGAAATCATTTTTGCAACTGCTTTGGTTACCCCTATTTTGATAAGTCCGTCTCAATTTTTCCTAATTTATTTGTGACACTTTCGTTGTATATATCTTTTAGGGGATGATTTGTCTTTTTTACCATGAAGTCCGTTACCAAATGTTGCGAGGAGGAGCAGGCGGTTCAGTCGGTCATTCTGAAAGTCCTTCCAATTTATAGTTCATGGCCTGAGAAACAGAATTTGTTACTAAACCTGTCATACGGGATTCGGGGAAGTTCAAAAAATTGCCGCCTCCTCTGCCCACGGATATTAACGTCTAACTCGTTGACCTAATTCTCACAGCCCATGTGGCGAATCACTATGACGTTCCGAAAGAGACTTTGACAACCGCGTCACACATACCGAATCATCTTGTCTACATACACGTTTTCCGGTTTGCGGTTAGGAAGTAAAAAGCCGTCGACACTCTTACTGGAGATGCGCCGTGTCCTTAGATGTTTGAGAGGGGACGAATATTTGTTTCGACAATTTTGGTTGCTCTTGTGCACTTCTAAGTCACAGTCACTGTGAAATTGCTGACATCGCAGACAACGTACTGGGACTTTACATGGAGTCACGTTGCGCTTCGTCTATCATCGACCGGTCAGTTGAAGTGCCTTACCGGGTACATACCTTATCCCCGTCAAACGACAACGCAACGAACCTGCATTCAACCCAGGCACTTGTGGACAAAATTACCTCACTGAAACGAGAAGCCCAGCGCTTAAGCTTGAACCAGCAGCAGCGTAGGATTATGTGCCGTTTACATATTTGCACTCGCAGTTCCACACAACGATCTGACTGTATTTACCACGCACGTTTCCGTGGCGTTCCTAGGAATTGCGTCAAATCTTGTACCTTATCGATGACAGCGAAGCTGCAGGCTGGACAAAACGGTGACGCGTTTTCGGACCCACAGTTTGATAAAGACCAAACGCAATGGTCAATCGATGTTAACCAACTGCAACTTGGGACAAGCTGACAGACAAGTACTAGTGATTGACGGCAACGAAAATACCGCGAGTGGTCTGTTCAAGACAGCCGATCACATTTCATGCATCATGTTACGTCATCGGACCATAGCCTTAGTGGTCACAAGCCTGCCTTGTAATCTGAGGGCGCGGATTTGCGCCTGCGTAGAAACCGGTCGACCCTCGCAGTATCTTAGCCAACGTGCGCAGTAGTGGTGCGTCGGTACGGCGTACTGCTGATGCTTTTTTGCAGGTTTCATGTTCCTATTAGTCACTGGGGCGGAACTCAGTGTTCTCTTTCCACCCTCAGGTGAATTGCCGAAGCGACGGGCAGCAAATCTACGTGCCATCAACACAATGCCCATAGAAATCTTTTAGCCAGCGTTCCCTCACCATTAATCTCGACCTTAGACGTGAATTCCTCTGGATTTTTACAATAGCTACCGGACCATTTGCTGCTCTTGATATCGATTTCCTTCATCGTTTTGAGCTTATGGTCGATACCCGTTATCGAAAACTAATCGACAATCAAACGCGGCATTCCATCTGCAGAGTTGTTATCCCTAAGTGTCACTCCCATTTATGTTCAATCACAACCTAACGAAGACTCCATAGAGCTGTTTAGCTAAAGTTCGATGCGCTTTTGCTAACCTTCGCCACTTATGGCATCGGTGCGGTATTACTCTCTCCCTGAAGAATGTACAATCCGGCCGTACGTTTGATCCTACTTTACGGTTATGAAACCTGGCCCATTAGATCGGCGGACGTTAAGAGGCTAGTTACATTCGAGCACCGGTGCCTTCACACTTTGACTCATATCTTGTGAGAACACCGCGTGGGCAATTAGCATGTTCGGTGTCGCGTAGTTGTTGCAGGAACAGCGAGTTAATCGCTCTGTACCATTATTTCACACAACAGCCCCCGATGACCTGGTCATATGTTGTGCATGCTAGCACGCCGACTCCCGCGACGTGAGTTGTTTGCGCGACCGGGGATGTGGATGAAAGAAGAGGGAAGGAGGTCTACGCACGACATAGTCGAGAGTAATGAGGTCTCTGTTCGAAGTTTACCTCGGTTGTGACCCGAATGACTATAAACACTTGTGGCTAGGTACCCTAGTTGACATGGTTAAGAGCCGACCTGTGGCGTTTGTGTTGTTAGTTTCTTTGTCCCTCCCTCTCCCGCTTAGCCTTCTCTCCAACCACGATCTTATTTCTGACGCATAATATAACTTCTTTGCTGCACAATAGCCGGCTACTAGCTCTCCGGAACAATGTCCATCTGTTACTGGTGACTCAGTTGGCGTGCCTGTGTTGCATCTTTCTCCTTTCTCATTGCGACTCAGTAGTTAACGTGTATAATGATTATGATTAACCCAGAAATGTTCGCACAGTTTCCGCTACTGGTTTGTGCTTCTAACGTTACTCTCCCAATAACGTCCCACGCTACATACGAACTCATGGTCAACCAGTTTCCGCTCGACCACGAAGTCTTGCTCCATATAAATTGAAAGTGGCCAAGGAGGAAGTCGAGCGTGTGATCGAACTTGATGCTGTTCGGCCTTCCGAAAGTTAGTAGGTTTCTCCACTTTACATGGTGCCAAAGAAGACTGGTGGCTGGTAACCCTGTGGAAGTTATCGGGCACCAAACAAACGCACCTGCCCCGACAAGTACCCTGCTTCGCATATTCGGCATCCTACTATCTTCTTAGGCGATAAGTGTATGCTTAGTGACATCTGCTTGATGATGTCCTGTCGGTCCGTGGCCTACTAGATCACAAACTTGTCTTGTAATCCGAGAACGAGTGTTCGGGCCTGTATAAGGACCGGGCGATCCTCGCAGTATCCTTAACCCATGTGAGGCGGTTGATGGTTGCGCGGCGGCAATGCGTCGATGCAGCATACTGCTAATGTTACTAGGCTATTTTTTACTCAAATAGACCTGTATTTGACTCCTGCTCAGCGCACTTACTGTGTTTATTATTTTCTCTTTGTCCTTTCACCTGTATTATGTTGCATAACATTGATTTAACTATGGGATAAAGTTGTTTATTACGGGTGCAGTGAACGCCGCATAGAATCTGTCTTTCCAACGACGTCTTTTCTTTGCACGCAAACCATTGGTTTGTGGTCGCATAATGTTAACCAACAGTGCACCCCTTGAGTGTACATTGGGTTTGGGCTTTCTACTTAGCTCTTCTTTTCTCTTATTATTCGCCTTTGGTGGAGTCATTTTTGTTTCATCCTATAGGACAGGAGTAAAACGTTTTTTCTGATGCCATCCACGAAGCTTTTTTGTTCACATTATTCGTTGTATTTCTTAATTTTTTTCATTCTGTATTCCAAACTAATGGCGAAGCGAGCTAGGGCAATTGGGTCCACATTGTACTTCGGTTCTCAAAACATGCTCAAGTTGTCCGTATTGTTGGTCATTACTTTTTGCTTGAGATAGTTACATGATGCAGTCTCTTGTTCATCTTTTTTAGCTTCTGCTTTTCACTTTGCGATGAATTACTCCGTAAATGCCTCTCCGTTTACTTTCTTACCACTTTGTCTCACGCTTGGTTGAACGAATGCATGGGGAGATTATGCAAATACAGGAGGGTGAGTTTTCAGTTTTGCCACACTGCCATTTTTTGTTTTATTGTGTGACTTAGTTGCAGTAACCATCAGCTTTATCTACAGTTCTGCTACGTTTTTTTCTGAACTAGCCGCTGCGGTTACTCCACCTTCACTCACAACCAGATATCAGCTCTCATGAAAGGCTCAGGTCCCAAACGAGTGCAAACATTAATTTACCCCCTTTCTTCTTTGAGTTACATTTGGTGTCTATTTCCAAAAGTAATGCATCAACCCTACGCCGTAACGGCCCTTTGCTGCCACGCGACTACCACCAGTCGCGCGCGATCTGTGTATACCGCGAGGATGCCCACTCTGACGCGGATTCGAACCGGTGGTCTTCTGATTGCAAGCCAGGTGTGCAGACCACTCAGCCACCGGCCGACTGTCTATTTCCAAGTTACTACCCAGCCGATCATGCCAGTCAGGTCAATCGTTTTGGTCGTGCCACGCTTGTCGAGGTTCTCACTAGTGGTTGTGAATAAATTAATTAACTAGTTCCTCATAATCCTTTTATAAGGGCCATTTATTCCTTAGTTACAGGTTCGGCGCAATCTGGAATTGGATCTGTTCTTCCCTGCCATGTGAATTAAAGTATCCAAACAAATGCTCTTTGTGGTGTCATCCAGACAAACTTCTGTTTGTTCCGTAGTTCGGAATACCAGAAGAAGCCATTCTCTCGGGATCTTGAAGAACTTGAGAGCAGAAGGCATTGGCAGTACACCAGCACGTATTACCGACGCTTTGCTGCCACGCAATCACCACCGGTAGCAGATGGGCTAAGGATACTGCATGCGTCGCCCTGCCCCTACATAGGCTCGAACGCACCCCGTCGGATTACAAAACAAGCTTAGTATAAAGCCCAAACCCAATATTTGGAGTCGCGGTGTTCACTGCTTGCTAACATTATTCGGTCACAAACCAAAGGCGTCTTTGACAAGACAGATACTTGCCAGCTTTCACTATACCCGTAATAATCAACTTTATCCTATAGTTAACTCAGCGTCATGGCTGACTCAGCATACATCATTGGTGCGCTCTCTGTCGTCTCATGTTCGGCTCATTTGCTTAAAGTTTATCCAATGCTGAGAGGGTTTGGTTAGGATGCGAGCACGCCTTATCTTCATACGATAGCAGGCGCTGTGTGTAGGTGCCTTTTCGTTAATTACTTTCCTTGGGCATTTGGGTTTCATGTTATTCCCTCATTTCTTCTTTTCCCTTATTGGGAGGGTTCTTATGGTTGCACAACAGTGTGGCATCCGTGCAACGGCAATAATTTGCGCTTGTTATTCACGATGATTGAGGTATCAGCAACACAACTCAGTCCTGCATTGGGCCGTTCCATATAATCGATGTCTATTACCTCATCGATGGATGTTATTCCTTTCGCTATGCAACCCCTCGAGATTGTCCGTCCTTCACTTGTCCGCTGGTCAAATCGTTGATGTAACCTATTATCGACTAGCTTATTTTCCACTACACATCACATGCATTTCTGGGTTAATCTTTTGCAACTCCCGTTCCTCGAAAACATGCTTCATGCACTTGACCTGCGGGTTTCACTCAAGCGGATAAGTCACATGTGGACGTTATTCAATTCTTCCCCGACCACTCTTCCTAAGAACGACTGGTGTTTGTGATTTTTTGCATGTTGCATATTTGCTCACTACCGATGCTACTCAAACTGATAAATTTGACACTCTGTTGATTGATTTGTTCCCCTATTAAAATGTTTACAGTCCGTCATTTTAGACAACACGCCACAATGCTACTTTGTGTGGCTGGATCCCTTGGCTTGCGGTTTATGAGCTCCAATTTTCCTTCAGAGTCGGCTTACCACCGCCAATCTGTGTAATGTGGCTATGTCTACAGCCATCACCTTACGCCCTTCAACGAATGAAAGTGCTTGGTGTATGATATTCCGTGTTGGACATACACGTACTTATCACCCGATGAATTGGTTACCTAGGCGTCACTCCAGTAGTTCAGTTTGCTTCTTGACTCTGAACAACCAACACTTGAATCCCATTCCTTCTGTGTACGTCGATGGTATCGCCAAAACGTGCTATTCACGCATAATGCATTAACGATAGAACGGGAAAATCGTGCATTGCTTTGCGGCATTTCTCACTCTGCTATCTGTAAATTCCTATTACCAACCCGTAGTCTTAAGGATCACAAACCTGTCTCATAATCCGAGAGCGCGGATTCGTACCTGCCTGTGGACCGGGCGACCCTCCCAGTGTCCTTAGCCCACGCGCGACTGTTGTTGGTTGCGCAGCAGCTAGGCGTCGATACTGCATACCGATGCACTGCTGATACTTTATTTGCTTTAAATTCCTATTTAGCTGGAGTGTGGTTCATCTCACTTTCCGAGCATCCCTTTTGTCTTATTTCGATAGCCTTCAGGAATCTACCGCAGATTGCACATCTCCTCCGAATTGGAGGCATCGTTGCTTTGCCCACGGATACAGTGTATGGCATTGCTTGCTCAGCCAAAAACTCAGCGGCATTAGAAAAGATTTGGCGCTTAAAAGGACGGGATCCAACAAAGCCCATGGCCATCTGCCTGCACAAGGTGAGCACAAATCGCTTTGCTTTTTTACTACTTAATGCTTGTTCCTCGGTATCAATTCGAAAAACAGCTGCATCAGGAAGCTACTTACGTATTTTGTTATTTAAGCCACAACTTGACTAGCTACAAGCCTGAACAACGTGCGTTTCTAGCAACATATTATATAAACGAATTGCGATTCGTCCCGAATGACTGACAAATATGACTCCAAAATGACACGCACACTAACGGATCAATACATGGTGTTTTATATGACGAATCAAGCGAAGAGAGACATCCATTATTCCGAGGCGTACGGACGAAGAGGTCGCACTCATGAGCTATACTCGTAACAGTACTCAAACAGTTCAAAGTCAATGACAGTGGCGTTGTCAGAGGTAATAAGCATGAGCTTTACTCGTCGCGTCCATTTTCAAATAGTGTAACGGATGGACGATTGCAACAGGCAAAGTAGTGGGATAACTTCCCAAAGCGCACGTTGGCAAGATGACCGTTAACCTAAGGCGGCAGAGCTCATGGCGGAAGCAAAATGTCAAAGTTTTATATCAAGTTCACACAAGGGTTGGGTTGCAGCAAGAATTCGTAGCCGGGGCAATGATTTTACGTAATGGTGAATACGGATATCTGCGCTGCCTGCGTAACGTCACAGAGACTATGCCTCATACTCGAACTGTTTGGATCTTAGCCTATCCAAGACGAATTACCTACTTTCTGGTGTTTCTCAACAAATTAATATTTGATATTACTCGTGGGTAGCAGGATTTTAGATGTGATCTTTCGCCATTTCCAAAGTAGATTATGTCACGTGAGCTGTTCTGTTACCTCTCTTTAGCCGGCTTTCTGTTTGGGATTGGTCAACCGCATCTTGCTACAACTCGGTTTTTTACTTGCCCATCCGCGCTTTTAGGTAAGGAATCCAACAATATTTCGTTACTTTAGTATCTGCGAACAAAAGTTGTCCCGCTGCTTTTTTCACAATAACTTGGTAGTAGTAGTAGTAGTAGTAGTAGTAGTAGTAGTGCTTTCACTGGGGACTGCTTGTTAACAGCACTCAATCCCATTGCCGACTTTGATATCGTCACACTTTCTTTGAGTGCTACCTTTTAACCCACCGATGTGTGAGGCAGTGTTATTGCAGTTCCCTTTCTAAACCGTCCGTCAGAAATCACGTTTCTGGTCGTCCCATACGCAGGTATAGTTCCATCATGACTATGGAGGGCCTTTTCCCAACATGAAAGGTGATTCCTATGTTGTTTTTTATCATCGTGCATTTTCCTCATCATTCGTCGATAGACCGCGTCGTTGACCAAGATTCTCCTAAACCAAGCGTGACTTATCGCGCACCGATGTTAGCCCTTACGAGATCAGTTACAACATAAAAATCATCCCGGCAACCGCACTTGGGCACCTACACCATATCCTAGTTTCTGCTAAAGGTGGCAGCGCTTTTCCCATGTGTCTCCCATGTGCGTCCATGTTGTCATCTCACCTGTTGTTGGGTCAACCGCTTCCGAAGCGAAATCTGCTATTGACCATTTTACTTCGGATGAAGCTCAATTGCATTGGTATGCAAAAGGATCAGCAATGCGCCGGCGCATCGTACGGATACCTTACTTCTATGTCATAAGCAGTCGCGTGCGGGCTGTAGATACAGTGAGCTTGCCCGCACATGTGCAGGTTCGAGTCGGTGACTGGATTGCAAGTTAGCCGCCTGAACCACTAGACCATCGACCGGCGTGACATTGCGGCTGGTGCCATTTGGAAAACCGGTGGAAAGACTTACGAGCTAAGTCCGAGCGTTCAGGACGGATGTCGACTGCCACCTTAGCACCCTGAAGTCTATTCGCACTACGTAGGCGGCTGAACCGTACAGGGTTCCGTCGTCGATCTTGCCGGCAAACTGTCTTTCAATATTGCAGTCTATGGTTTTATCTGCGTGAAATGCTCGTAAGCCAGACACCTCATTCCAGCCACCAGTGTACTCTGGGAGCATGATTCACATCTCAAATAGTAGGCACCTACTCGGTTTCGGATACCATAAGGAAGTTACGATTTCTTAGTTATACCTTACTATTTCATGAGCTGGTATTAAATGGTGACGTTTCGCCCTACAATTATATGCAACACGACGGATACGTTCTCTGACGACTAGGTCGCGAGAAGATTCACGCTTCATTATCCATGGAAGGCGCCCTTGTAGAAGAAATCTGCCATACGACTTGCACTCGAGGAGATCGTACCGCGCTGTGTCAAAGCCATTGTGAACGATTATAGGATCACTGACCACTCACTTCGGTAACTAATACGTAGTAAGGAATTTAGGCAAAGCACACCCCCAAACCGCATTTGGGCAAGAACAAGACACAGTACGAAGCAAAGTGTATCGGGCGCAGCAGTGCGATATGACACTCGAGTTAAAGCATGAGTGAGGATCTATTGATTGGTCAACGCGACGAGCACCAATAAGAATGCGGTGTGGCTGAACTAACTAATCACTATCATCGACGGATGTAACATCTTCTCCTCTCCTGGAGAAAGTCATACACCGGGAACGAAACGTTCAACAGGTTTAGGTACACATTACGATCTGCGAGGTGGTGGGTATTTTGTTGTTTGCGCAGTATCCTGAGTGGTTTGTTCCACCGTTTACTAGACTGAGTCAGACATATTTTCCTCATTTTCTCATGTTTCTACACAACGCGGACGTATGTGATCTGAATGACGCCTCAAGACGCGACCATTTACCTCTAGGTCAGCCTGGATACCATCACTTGTGACCACGGTTGCGGGCTGCCATGACTGTTCGTGGGGAAGTCGTGTATACACAGGATCTCCCTGTTGGAAAACAACATTGTGATCCCTGTCTAACGTAGCTGTCTTGTTTTATTTCGCTTCTATTTGCGCTCGACGGTTAGGAAAGAATAGGTGTAATCTAGTCCAAAGTGTTCAGCCGAACATCAGTACTGCGGAGGATTTATCCGTGGATTCTGTCGGAGTTGTTCTATAGGCATAATGTAATCGATCTAATCGCGTTTGTATGGATCGCGACAAGTGCTTTAGCAAGCCTCTTTTTACCGTCTGTACGGCCCTTTCGACTAATCCACTTGACGCAGGATGATATGGGGCTCTACGCGTGTGTTGAATGCCATTGCTCTTATAAAGCTCTCAGACTCTAATGGTAAAACAGGACCCATTATCTGTACAAACAGTTTCAGGTATTCCGAAAGCCGAAAATCATGACCACATCTTTGAAATGGTTGTTTCAGTCGTGAGATGAGACACTGGATAAACATCAATTCATTTCGAATAGGCATCACCTATCAACAGGAAAAATGTTCCGTTCAAAGGACCAAAATAGTCCGCATGGATACGCTGCCATGGCCTCTCAGGCCAATGCCAAGGGTGTATTGTACCTGGAGGTTTATTCGACTGATATTGTTGGCAGAGATCTTACGTTTTCAGGTACTTTTCAATTTCGGCATCTAAGCCTGGCCAGCAGCAATCGCCGCGTACAAGGGCCTTCATTCGGGCAACACCTGGATGTCCATTGTGAAGTTCATTTAGAATAAAGGAGCGCGCTTTCGACGCTGGAATCAAACGTGAGCCCCAAAACAAGCAACCATTGTGTATATTCAGCTCATTTTTCCGAAGCCTAAAAGGTTTCAACTCGGCCAGAATTCTACTAGGCCAGTCCATTTTCGTGAAACGTATCACCGAGGCTATTATGGGATCCCTATCGGTCCATCGACGTATGAAGTAACTTGTCAAAGGAGTAGTGTCGAGGTACTGCATCGAATGAACTAACTCTACCGGTTCATCTATTGGCCCTGCGGGGGTCGCGTGCGGTAACCGACTCAGGGCATCCGCCGTACAATTGTTACATCCTGGGATGTAAGATTTTGTATTCATACGTACTAATGTTTAGGACCCATCGTTGCATTCTAGGTGAAAACATTTGATGGATCCCCTTGGAATCACCCAATAAGGACATCAACGGTTTTTGATCAGTTTGGATCTCAGAATGACTGCCCCAAATATACTAGTGTAATTTCTTGACACCAAAGATAACTGTGATTGGGCCTCGCCATCAAGTTGTGAGTAACTTTTTCAGCCGATTGTAAGGTACGTGAAGCAAAAGCAATCGGATGAATTGCAGCATTCGGCATTTTATGACACAAAACTGCTCCAACTCCGTATGGAGATGCATCACACTGAATGCTCAGATGCTTTTTTCTATCGTAGTGAACTGAAACTGGCGCTAATGCTATACTGCTTTTAGAAATGATGAAAGCGGGCTGATGATCATCATTCCACACTCACGGCATGTTTTTATATAATTGTGGTAAACTTGCGTAACTTCATCCCGTGGTATTTTTTAACTATGGGACATTTTCCACTTGTCAGGGATTTACTTATAACCAATTTCTTCTATATGCTCATTTAGCGAGTATTTATGTCGTCATATGCGTTTACTTTATTCGATATCGGCATTTCGAATGATTGGCTGTTGTTTGACGTCCCAGGTGTGCCTGCGCTTGATGTGCATGTTGACAAGGTGCTTAGCTGTCTATGACACACTACATCGTTCATACTGGCTCCAGGAGACAGTTGGTTGTTGCTGGAGAGGACGGGGTGCACGGTCCTTGGGGCCGTGCTAGGCTCAAAGAGCGGTTCCATGCATTCAGTGTGGAGCGGACTACGGTCCAGCCACCGCCTTGCGTGCGCTTGATTCCCCCAAATACAGCGTGGTTCTGTTTGCCTGTGAAGGAGTGTGGGCCGGCTCCGTTGATGAAACGTGGTTCCCATCCACATGCCTCCCGGTCTTATTCCTTTGGGTTAACACTGGATATGGGGTATGTGGTTGGAGCTGTGGGTGGTGCAGCGCAAACCATCCATGGTCCCTCTGTAGGCGCAGGCGTCCTGTGGCTGGCCACAGTGACAGGCAAATCCGAAACAGTATGCCGCCAACCATGTATGTATGTGTGCCCCATGCTGAGGCTGAT